AATTTTCACCTGAATACCCACTTACTTTCCAGGCTCTTCTATCAAGAAAATAATGAAATTATGAGGTTGGGGTTAGGGCAGTAAACAAACAAAAAAGCAAACCTTGATTCTTGTCAGTGAACAATCTCAGACCAGGCACATTGAGGGGAAGGGAGACTGTAGGAGATGCAAAGACATCCAAACCCAAACAAGATGCTCACACACAAAGATCACACAGGGGTCCCAAGACAAAGCAAGGTTGTTTACCTTTCCATTTGCTCGTAGGGAAGCTGAGAACAAGATACTTATTGCTGACCATATATCTCTCTATATTGTCTCTCTCCACAGATGTATAGGACATGGGGCAGGGGGGCAGTTGAAGCAACTGTTTGGCTGGGGATTCTAAGTTGAGGAACGGGACCTGAAGTTTCAGACTCTTGATTCACAGTAAGGAAGCCCAGGGATGGCTTCAGGGAAGCTGTGCCAGGTGTAGATTGTAAATCTAGGATGTGGGTCTAGGATGTAAGCCTGGGATGCTGGTCTAGGATGTGGGTCTAGGATGTATGTAAGCTTGGGGTGCTAGTCTAGGATTTGGTTTTAAGATATGGGTCTAGGATATGAGCATGGGATGTGGGTCTAGGATGTAAGCCTGGGATGCTGGTCTAGGATGTAAGCCTAGGATGCTGGTCTAGGATTTGGTTCTAAGATATGGGTCTAGGATGCTGGTCTAGAATTTGGTCCTAAGATGTGGGTCTAGAATATGAGCCTGGGATGTGGGTCTAGGACGTGAGTCTATGAGTACCAGAAACCAAAATGCAAATACTGACACCTGGGAACCAAAAGGCCTCATGCATAAATGACAGTGAGTAGTAAAAAGAAGGCACCTGAGTCCTCAAAAGTCACCCAGGATGTCACAGCCCCCACTGTGAGTGTTCTGTAAGCAATTAAAGATGTTAAGGGTGGAAACGCCTTCCGTCTGACACTGAGTCTTCACACCTTTCTGAGGCTCTTCATCACCTCTGCTGGGCTTTTCCGGGAAGCGCGGTAGGATCTCCCTCCCCACGGTTGACAACGTACCTGCCCTGCAGCCACTGCACCCCTGCTGCTCTGTTCATCAACAGCTTAGGCAGCTCTCCTGGAGACACTTCCAAGGCCTCTACCGTCTTCCGGTTCTCCATAATGTTCCCGACTCTTCGCTATCAATCTACCAGGGAGTAAACACTTGCACATTAATAGGAAGCTTGACTCTACTCCAGAGTTTTAGTTTCTTCTCCTGCTGCTAAGATATATATAAAATACTCTGACAAAAGCCCCTTAAGTGAGAGAGAGAGAGAGCTTGTTCTAACAAAAGCCCCTCAAGTGAGAGTTTGTTCTGGCTCACAGTTCAAGGGTGATCAGTCATGGTGGGAAGGTCAAGATGGAAGGAACTTGAAGCAGCTGGATGTCATCACCTTGCAACCAGAAAGCAGAGAACCATGAACACGTGTGCAATGCTCGGCTCCCACTCTCCACTCCTATCGTCCAGGATCCCACGCAGGGAATGTTGCCACTCCCAGTGGGTGGGTCTCCCCACCTTGACAAAAGCAATTAAGATGATATCACACAGGCAAGGCCAGAGGCCTGTTCTTGGTAATTCTAAATTCTGTAAAGTTGACAACCTTGACCAACAGACCCGGATAAGTGTCTGACTCTTTCTTTCCAATCTGTTTATATTTATGGACATCTATAGAATTGGATTGACAATTATCATTAACCTAAAGTCACCCAGTAACCGCAGAGCCACGGAAAGGATACGTCTTGCTAATGAAGCTCTGGAAAGCTCACGCTCAGAGTCAGGCTTCCCATGAGCGGCTCAGGGTGGAACTGAGTGAGCCCACTAACAATGGCGGCAATTTTAGCAATCAACTACTACAAGGTGGCTCGTGTTTATGAAATGCGTCTCATGTTCTTTGTCTCATTTAAACCCGCACAACACTCAAAAAACAACCGGGCACAGATTCTTATAATTTACTGTTTACAGGTGAGAAAAACGAGACTCTGAGAGGGTAGGTGACTTGCTCCAGGGTCAACAGATTTTAAATGTCAGAACCAGAGCACGTGACTTCAAGGCAGCTACTCACCGCCTGGCTATCTCATGGTGGCCTTTTCCTTCGGCCTACATTCGAATTAGTCTCACACGAAAGGGCACTCGCCGTTTCGGGGTGAACGGCGCGTCTGAATGTCACTGCAGAAACATTCATTTCCTTCTTGTGTCTTTATAGTTGCTTCATGCCTGCCTCGTCTTTACCTCTCCCAAATTCCTTCTCGAGGTAGTCAGTGCCATCAAAGGCAGCAGTTGGTCACTCACTTCTCAAGGCTTTGGTGGAGAATGTATGAACCGCGCAGACTCAGTGCAGGGGTCGGCTTGAAGGGGCGGACCGTGGCAAAGAGAAGCGGTTAGCCGTTATAGTCATCCATTTAAGGCCTGACCGCTACTTATCCCTTGCAATTGCTTCTCGGGGCCAATAAAGAAACGAACAGTTTTTCTGATTAATTCTCATGACAAAGAGTCGCTTCTTTTTAGGAATCGGAGATTACGGTTTTGCTTGGTGAGCTTTCTCTTCTAGGAATACCAAACAAGCCCTTCTGTCTAACTTCTCTTACGCTAATTTAAATTAAGAGTGGTTTGAACCAACCCTTTGAGAAGCTGGGAGGAGGGATGCTTTATTTCTCATCAGACTTGCACCCTGGGGGTTCATATTAACCCCAGCTTTTCCCCGTACGAAACAGAATTGGATTTATCGTCAGTCCTGCGGACCACCGCTCCACTAACCCTGTGCATCTTCACGCATCCCTTCAGGCCGCCAGGACTTTTTTCCTTCAGGTTACAAGAGAGGGCAGCATATTTTAAGTAGAAAAGGCTAGTTTCATTGTAATTTTTTAAAAGGACCCAGGCTCCCATTAGACAACCATTCTTTTTGGTCTCTGTTGAAGGAGAAAACACAAAACCGTTCACAGAATGGAATACTCTGGGCTTTGATACCTGGACCGCAATACTATGCTTAAAAAGAAAACTTCGTTTTATGCATGAGAATATTACTGTATACTTTAAAAAAAAAAAAGTAAACAACATATACAAGACATACTAGCTTAGGGTCTCCATACGGGTTCCCAGTCATCCTCCCTGTACATCTCCCTCATCCCTGAACTCACACGTTGAAAAGAACTGATCTAAAACGTTTGGCTCGGGTGACTAGTTCACTGCCTGAGAACTCTGTCAGAGCCCAGCTTCCCAGGTGTGGAGGTTAGTATCTGGGTCCTGTCTCCCAAACCTGTGAGGTGGGTGCCTCTTGAAGTCGCCATAGCCCAGCTTCCCTGGTGCAGAGGTTAGCATTTGGATCCTGTCTCACAAACTTGTGAGGCTTCCGCGCCCAGCTCTCTTTTTTTTCCTTTTGGTTTGTTTTTAAAATTAGCATACCACGTAAGAGACTTCACTAAGGATTTTCCCCATGTGTATTATTCTCCTTTGTCTGCCTCCTCCACCCTATACTCCTCCTCCTCAGCGCCCTCTCTGTTTTCATGTCACAGGTTATTAACCCCTCCTCCGCTGCTCCTCCGCTGCTCCTCCGCTGCTCCTCCGCTGCTCCTCCGCTGCTCCTCCGCTGCTCCTCCGCTGCTCCTCCGCTGCTCCTCCGCTGGGCATCTCTTCTTTCTCTCATGCTTGCCCATCTCGTTTCGTTACCCACGCCCAGGAATTCCTGAGCACCAACCGGTAGGTCTCATGCATGTATCAACAATCATGATCACCATCAGAGGGTGATTTCTAAGGAAACCTCTCCCCCAAGATGCCCCAAACTGAGCTGATCAGAACTGCATTCCTCTCCCATGCAGAAAAGCTCTCTCAGCATTCAAGTTTCTATAGCAAAAAAAAAAAAAAAAAAAAAACATTGCAGCATCTCAGTCCTATACAGTAAGGTCACCTGAAAAACTTTACCTGGGTCCCATCCCAAGCCAAAAGAGTCTACAGGAAAGGGAAGCCACGCACCATTGGATTTATGTTAGATTTTTTAATTTTTATTTCGATATTTCCAAACAACCTAATCTGTTGACAGAGCCCTAAATTTCTACGTGCCTCTAAAGAGCCTTAAAGAGGAGAAAGCAGACAGGAGACTGTAGAGAAGTGACCCTGGACGGGAGATGCCCTGCGGCATGAGTCAGCGAAGCAGAGCAGAGAAGTAAGTGTCCTGAAGATGAATGTCTTCAGTGTCACCCCTGCGCCCTTGACCTGAGCCCCTCTCTTACACTGAACATAGGGTGTTTTCATCTGAAACTCTTCCCCTGTGCTAAGCCGTATTCCCTTAGTCACGGAACAAACCCTGATGCCTAGGAGCACATATGAAGTATCAGCATGAGTCAAAGTTCATCCTGACGGGGGAAGAGGAGGGATGAAACAATGAATTTAAGAGTCCAGTTTTCACCTATAATTACTGTCTCTTTCTTTAATGCACTGATATTTTCCAGGGTTTTTTTTTTCTGTTCTTTCTGATAAAAGTGGCTCTGTATTAGATCTTTACATGTAATTATATTTTTTGGGTACTACCAGGGATTATAAAAGGATATTTATGACTATGCTGCACAAATCTGTATTTCAGATAACTCAGCTGAAGTTGTTACCTACTGTTTGAATATATGAAACCCTAAGAGTTTAGGAAAGCCAAAGCCTAGGAAATTTAAACATCATTTGTGATATATAAAACATATACAAATATATATACTAACATGTAAGTATTAGTATTATATAGTAGTTATATCTGGCTTTGCCTATCTGAAATTTTGAACATTCTGAGCTGTGGCAACTCTCTAGGAGTCTGCGGATGTGTCAAGGAGCTTCTTCTGCTCATCTGGGATGTCGTTCATGGAGTCTTCAGACAGCTGGTCTGCAGAGAGCGTGTCCTGAGAAGACACTGTGTCTTCAAAGTCTGGATATTGGCCTGCATAGTCAGGAGGGCCCTGCTCTTCTGGGATGTCCTCACAGAGCTTGGCTGCAGCAGTTGCATTCTGGGGAGTAATCGTGTGTCCAAAGCCCTGATACTAGCCCTAGGGTGAGGATGACTTTGAACCTGGAGAACCTGCATCGAGTGGTGATGAGGAAAGCAGACTTGTGTGTTCAGTATGCTCTGGGTCTTCAGGAAAACATTTTTTGGGGGGATAACCTCGCATTGTTCTCCCGACACGTCTTAACTTGCTCAGAAATATAGTCTCTGACATCTGACACATCCCACATGGCGAGGAAGGAGTCGAAGCACGAGCCTTCCTCTGCCTCTTGCACGTAGGGTTTATAGGAGAACGAGTAATGATGGACAATCGCCGCGAAGAACATTTTGATGCAGATGATGAAATCCTGCAGGCCTGTGGCCACAGCTTCAGCACTTTGCCATTCCCACGTACGCTTTTCTGAAATAACGCCAACCTTAACCCACAAAGCAATAAGCACTGCTTGCCAAAATGAGAGAAAGACTACCAGTTTGACACAAAGAAAATTGCCAGAAGGTTGTATAGGGCTGAGCTCTTCTATCAGCACATTGTAAAACAGCCAGAGGCAGTACAAGGCAAACACTTGTGACAGGTTATTTAATATAACCAAGTAAGTCCAAGCGTTGGAGAAACTAAAGTTCCCTTCATCGTAGACACCAACAATCTCACATACCAACGCCGTCACAGTGGTGATCATTCTGACCACAGTGTACTGCAATACTCCGCGTTTGCACCGAAAAAGAAGCATTTCCCCCATAGCCCAGGGTGGACAGCAGTACAGAGGGGGGAAATGCTGTTGCTGATCTTTAGCTTCCACGTGGAGCACCAAGTTGGGGAATCGGATTTTTAGGTAGTTGTTAAGGAATATCATGAAGTTGTAAATGATGTAAGCTTCTTAGCACTCCCTCCAGGTGTCCACGTAGATGGTGATTTTGGGATATTTCAAAGCCAAGCAGCTATTCAAACTATATTGGGACCATCCAAAGAATCTTTATAATAGATTCTGGTTGCGTGTAATGCACTAAGTGCTGCACAGTCCCCCAGAGGGACACAGGGATTGTTAACAGCAGAAAGACACCAGAGATAAACCATGCTTCGGTGTGGATTCCAACCTTTAGTTTTTGAAGTTCCCAAACACCGAAGGGAACCGAGACGAGGATGGAAATTACGTTAAGTACGAGCAGAGGCCGGATCCATCACCTCCAGTTGTTCCGACTACAGGCGCAGGGCATTTCCATAAACAAATTAGTTGTGAACAGCTCAAAAAATGAACCAAGCCGAGATTTTGGCTTCTTTTCTTCGTTTTTTTTTTTGTTTGTTTGTTTGTTTGTTTGTTTTCTTTTTTTTCTTTTTTTCTCCTCTGGCTTTCTACAGGGGAAAATTCAGCAGCCGCTGGCACCGCGTCCTCAGGTCGCGCTGTGGTTGTGGCTGCCGCAGTGGCAGCAGCTCAGGATTCTCGCAGGTGCCGGCTACATCCTCGCCCGCTAACCGGCATGCACCCAGTAGGCCATGGCGCAGTCGCCGCTCACCTGGAGGTCACCTAAAGTCTCGGCTGCACCAAGGCCCCGAGGACAGCTGGGGTGACCTGGGGGGTCCCACCTGCAGCTGGAAGCCAGCGACTCCCTCCCCCCTGCTCTGGTAGGCGAGTTTCCGCCCCCCCCCCCCCGAGCAGCTCCCCTTGTATAAAGACTGGACAAAGCAGTCCAGCTTGAGGAACAGACTCCCAAGAACCAGCTGAAACTTTAAGGACAGCCCCTGTTCCCATTGCTAGGAGTCCCACAAGCAGACCAAGCTACGCAGCTGTCAGATATATGTAGAGATATATGTCTAGGTCAGTCTCATGGAGGGTCCCTGGTCAGTGGTTCAGAGTCCGAGTTGCTGTGAGCCAGCTTAGCTATTTCCGTGGGTTTTCTTATGATGTCATTGACCCCTATAGCTCTACAATCCATCCAACCTCTCTTCGTCAGGCTTCCCAGAGCTCAGCTTAGTGCTTGGCCATTGGTTTCTGTCTCTGGCTCTATCCGTTACTGGATGAAGGCTCTCTGATGACAATTGTGGGAGTCGCCAGTCTGATCGCAGGAGATGACCAGTCAGGCAAGGAGTCTTAGCTGAGGTCATCCTTAGAGATGTGTGGTCCTCCGTTGTGTAAATGGACCGCATTTTCTTTATCCATGCTTCGGTTGAGGGGCACCTAGGTTGTTTCCAGGTTCTGGCTATGACAAATAAAACTTCAATGATCATAACTGAGCAACGGTTTTTGTGGTATGATTGAACATCCTTTGGGTATATGCCCAAGAGTGGTATAGCTGGGTCTTGAGGTAGATTGATGCCTAATTTTCTGAAAAAAAAAAAAAAGCACCATATTGATTTACAAAGCAGCTGCACAAGTTTGCACTCTCACTAGCAATGGAGGAGTGTTCCCTTTGCTCCACATCCTCTCCAGCATAAGGTGTCCATCTGTGGTATGTTGGAATCTCAAAGTCATTTTAATTTGCTCTTCCCTGATGACAATAGATGATCTCACAGCAGCAAATCCCAATGAAGAGAAAAACACATGCAATAATGTTACCAAAAAAAAAAAACACACACAAAACCAGGGGCTGGAGAGATGGCTCAGTGATTAAGAGCATTGCCTGCTCTTCCAAAGGTCCTGAGTTCAATTCCCAGCAACCACATGGTGGCTCACAACCATCTGTAATGAGGTCTGGAGCCCTCTTCTGGCCTGCAGGCATACAAGCAGACAGAATATTGTATAATAAATAAATAAATGTTTAAAAAAAAACAGGAACTAGCAACCACTGATCTTTTTAATATTCCTTAATAAAAATGAACTCAATTCACTTATACAAAGACACAGGCTAACATATTGAAAACAAAAACAGAATTCATCTCCTGCTGCATACAAGAAACACACCTCAACCTCAAAGACAGACATTACCTAACAGTAAAGGGTTGGAAAAAATTTCCAATTTAATGGACCTAAGAAACAAGCTGGTGTAGCTATCATAATATCTAAAAAAATAGAATTCAAACTAAAATCCATCAGAGATAAAGAAAGACATTTCGGATTTGTCATAGGACAAATCCACCAAGATGATTCTGAACATCTATACCCAAAGTACAAGGGCAACCACATTTGTAAAATAAGCGTCACTAAAGCTTAAATCACACATTGAACCCCACACACTCATTGTGGGAGACTTCAACACCCCACTCTCACCACTGGACAGGACTGCCAGACAGAAACTTAACAGAGAAATAAGGGAACGTGCGTATATCATGACCCAAATGGACTTAACAGACATCTTATAGAACCTTCCACCCAAACACAAAAGATTATACTTTCTCAGAACCTCAAGGAACCTTCTTAAAAATTGAACACATACTTGTTAACAAAGCAAACCTCAACAGATACAGAAAAAATAGAATAACCCCATATATCTTATTGGATCACCACAGCTTAAAAGTTAGAATTCAACAGCAACACTAATTTCAGAAACCCCACAAATACACGGAAATAAACGCTCAACTTGTTGGGAGCTGTGAAACCCCCAGAGCCTGAATTTCCGGTAAACAACTTGTAATGCTTGCAGCTGCTCTAAGCACGAAACCCTCAGGAGTTCCTGATGGCAGGAGAGTGGTTTCTGATGGGTTTGGCTGGGGTGTGAGTATAAGTTAAGGATCCCTATAGAAGCTGCCCCTGGACAGAATAAAAGGGGCATTCGTGGGGCATTCTGGCATCAAGGATGACCTGTGTCTCTGCCTGTGAGTCTTTGTGTGTTTCAATCTTCAGCCCCTTGCCCGGTTCACGAACTGAATGGTGGCGCATAGATAGCACATGGCGTGGTGCGCTACACAACTGAATCACCACTGTGTCAAGCAAGAAATAAAGAAATTAAAGACTTCCTAAAATTTAATGAAAATGACCAATACAATATACCCAAGCTTATGGGACTCAATAAAAGCAATGCTAAGAGGAAAGTTCATAGCACAAAATACCTACCTTTCCTTTAGAGCTGGAAAAATCCCAAACTAGTGAATTAACAGAATACCTGAAAGTTCTAGAACAAAGAGAAGCAAACTCACCCGAAAGGAATAAACAGCTAGAAATAATCAAACTGAGGGCTGAAATCGATAAAATATAAATAAAGAAAACAATACAAAGAATCAAGGATACAAAGAGTTGGGGGGTTTTTTTTTGAGAAAATCAACAAGATTGGCAAACCTTTATCCAAACTAACCAAAAAGCAGAGAGAGAGAATATCCAAATTAACAAAATCAGAAATGAAAAGGGGGACATAACAACAGACACTGAGGATACCCAGAGAATCATCAGGTCATACTTCAAACACCTATACACCACACAATTTAAAGGAAATGGAAATTTTTCTGGATAGGTACTGATACCAAAATTAAATCAAGACCAGGTGAACAATTTAAGTAGACCTATAACCCCTCTAGCTGGCGCTGGGCATCCCTCTTTCGGATGTTATTTCCGTATTCATTCGTTCACATTTTTCAGACTTTACTCAAATGCCAACAAATCATGGAGGCTGATCTTCAGCACGTCATTTGCTGTAATATCATGGCTGCGCACACGTGCGCACACACACCACCAAGCCCTATTTAGTCCCATTCCATCCTATTTTCTATTATATATTGTCTTACTCTTCTTCTAAAATACTGGATAATTTATTCCCCTTCCCTTTACTTTCCCCTCATGTAGCAAAAAAACAAAAGCTCTTTAAGAGCAGAGACATTGCTATTATCCACTGATCTACGTCGAGCCTACAGATACAGAGAGCATGTTCCATAAATCATTAATAACCCTCTCCTTGACTTTACAAACTATGTGTTTCAGGAGTAACGCAGGTTTCCTAGCCCAACAGTAGGAGAGGTAGCTACACTCTGAGCGCCTCCATTCTGAACCCAAACTCAATGATGGTTTCGCTGTACTGCGCCACCCTCCACACAATACAGCAAATCCACAAAACACGGATGGTATCTTTTAACTCTTTCAACTTAAAAATAAGTGTAGTATTTTATAATTTTGGTGGTGAGCCTAGCCTTTAACGGCTGAGACCTCTCTCCAGCCCAGTATATTATTTTAATTAAGCAAATGATTATTAGCACAGAGAAACATTTTCCACACTCCTTTGCTGAATTAACTGGGACTTGATGGTGTCTTCTGTGCCTCCAAACCGTCTGCCTTTGTGGCAGGGAATCATTGCCTCTCAGCCCTCTTTACTTTCTTTTTACTACCATTAGCAACATTCATAGACGATTTCTTTTATGGCCTATTTTACACACACACAAGAAAAGCAAAGTTTTTACCACTTTCGGGAGCGCTAGCTTGCATGCTAATGAGCACAGAACAACACAGGCAAGTTTCCATTCAAAGGCTGCTGCTGCCCCTCCCTGCTTGTTAGTCAATTCCAGCATAACCAGTCTTGCAAAGAGGGTAACTAGATCCACTCCTCAGCAAAACTGCAAACCGCTGAGTATCAAGGCGCTGGGAAATGGGCAGAACCGCAAACGTTTGTTTAACCTTCAAATTCCAATAACCTGGTGTGATTAGACTCGGTCAGTACAACAGATACCTTGTAGTGGTGGGGAAGACCCAGAAGAGGGGGCAACCGAAAGAAGGGACTCTGGGAAACCTCAGCTCTTCCAGGTGCTGGGGTGTGAAGAATGCAAAAGAAACAGACCCTTGTGAGAATTTGCAACCCTCACTATCAAGAGAGGAGGCAGCATGGTAAGGAGGCCACAGAGACTTTGGAGACGTGAGGACTTGTGGGGACCGAAGGAAGGATGCTAGAGGAAGTGTTATCTTAGACACAAAACCTGTTAGTACTTTTTACTAGAATAAAATCATAGCCTGGAGGGTTATA